CCGCTCTGCTCAGCTCCCACACAAACTCACCCTTGGTCTGAAGGTCCTTTCTGATTTCCATGAATGTATTACAGTGAAAAGGTATACTTTTCTGTAAATTTGAAAACAAGTGTCATATATGACTTTCAATGCACCAAAAAAAAGCAGTGGTCTGTGTGCTACAGGTGCTGTAAGAGGCAATTGATTAAACAGAATTAGCTACCAAATTGACCCAGCCCATAGGTCATCTCCACTCTGATTTGAGGCATTTAGAATTCTCTCTGCAGATATTTAATGACTAGATGTACAAAGAAAAACATTCTTTAAAATTAACTTATTTTAGAGATAGTAAAATGGGTTTATGAAATAAAATCACAGAAGGAAAAATCTATCTGCCGCTTATAAAAATTCACCTACTAATCTTCATCCAGTTTGCTGCTTGATGCTGTGCTAAGCTATCATTAAATTATTTCCCTCCTTTCAGTTCTCCTTTTCTTTTTTTTCCTCCTTGTTTCTGCAGGACTGACACTACCTTCTGAATTTATTCCCTCTCACTGGACAAGCAGCACCCATGAGACACTCTTCTTTTTTTCCCTTTTTTCTTAAAATACAGCTTTCTTGGAACTTCCTCTTCTTAAGCTCTCTCAAAAGTCCACCAGCACGTATGAGATGTAGAATAAAAGAAAGATGCTGTCAGTGGTGATGCACACTGGGATCCACCAGCAAAGAACTAGATATAAAAGCATTCAATTGTGGAGATTATATGGCCACTGCTAAAATAATGTCCTTTAATGCATAAAAATAAATTACTTTTAAATGTGTTTCCATGGCAAAAGCAGTCACCTGGCGTGCAGGTCAGTACTTGAAAATGCTGTGTCAAGGAATAGAGGCTGACTAGTTAATAGAAGTCAGCCACCATTCCCCTGCCCATATTACAGCTCAGTAGGCTTTGAAGAGAGCGTGCTGGAGATGTCATTTTCCACTCTTTTATAAGCATCCACTTCAAGATGCTTCACTCCAGGCTAGCAAGAGATGCCCTACATTGCTGTAGTGCTACTTACAGAATTTATGACATAGGATTATGGCTACAACTTCATGCATTGCAAGCATTTGTGCAGAATGCAGTCCCATGTGTGCATATTCACCATACTGCATATTCCTAAGAATGCTTAATTAGCACTATTACACAGAAGAGGACTTCAGGTATTATACCTCACATTTCTCATGTCTACTTTTAAAACATAAGAGTAATAATTTTTTACATGTGGAAAGGTGCTCTAAATTTTTGTTTTTCCAAGAGTGTACAGAGTAAAGAGCAGAGTGCTTTGTAGACGGAAAGCACCTGTTTAAAATATATCATACTCCTTTTTGCACTGCAATAATTTAATAACTGCCTCAATTAAAAACAACCTAAACAAACAATAAACAAAGCCAACAAAAAGAACCTATCCTGTTTTTAAAGACTAAGTTTAAGGTGCATATATTCCAGAGAGAAACAATATCACAGAACAGAGTGATTCAATGACTGTCTCCCAAAGTTTCTGAATGAAGACCACACACCTTTCTGGAAGTCATGCTGTGATTAAACTAACCTCAGCAGAAGGACAGCCATTCCATGGCATATTTTCCACTAGAGGTCAGGCTGAAGGAGCTAATGATCTATTTTAGCCTTCAAAATCTATGAGTGGGAGTTACTAATCAAGACATGGGAGCTTGCAAATCAGTATTAATACTGCTTTGTTTTACTTAAAGTGAATCACAAAGATGTATTTTTCGAAGTTTCCAGCAGCTGAAAGTATTTAATCATGAGAGTATTTTAATGTGCGCCAATACAACCTTTCATAGAGTACTCAATGTGCCATCTCAGCTGGCAGGACAAGGTTTGGAAAAGAGAAAAGTTCTTCCTAAACTCCAGCCTTGAAATGCAAAACACATTAGCTTGTCTAATAACAGACAACATTCCAGTTACTTTTAAAAGGGTATTTTTAAAGGTTTGCTTTTTATTTTTTGCTTTTAGAAATGATATACATTACAACCACTTTCCACCAAATGTTTCCCTCTCAACAACTCACTGCCTTCAGTGTATCTGTCTGTAGCCATGCAAACCAGGACAAAGTAACTTTGGCCAAAGCTGCATGAGCATTTACCCATGGAGCCGAAAAGTAAATTGAGGAGTCACTTACATGTTTACACTTCTGAAAATGAAGCAGCCCATGAAATTCACGCAGAAATGAAATCAGCTAACTACATCAAGCAATGTCAGCTAGCATTTTAAAGTACCTCATGGTCAACTATCAGAACCACTTCAAAGATACAGTAAGTACTTTGGAGAAGAAAGAATACAAAATGCCTGGAATAATTGTCAGAGAGAAGAAAACTCATAATTTCTCCAGTTGCCTAACATTAATGGTGGGAATAACAGGCATAAGGAACAGAAATGAAGCCTAGAAGACATTGGTTTGACTTTTTATGTGTCTGTACTTCCACCGGCTCAAAAGTGGCATACCTGTTGGTAACAGTCAGTCGTTTCACAGTTACAGATTGTTTGCTTTAATGATCTTGTAACAGAACCTGATAATAGGTTCCAAAATCCACATGTGCACATTTTAAAAGGTGAAAATTCAGTTTAGCTCAGTAACTCAACTAATGCACTTTTTCCTTTACTACTTCTCCTGAAAATAACCTAGCCTTTTAAAATTCACAGCTGGTGTTGCTGGTGCCAGCAACAGGTACAGCATACCTCTCCAAGGCATGGCCTTGAGAAATGCAAGTTGTTCGAGGACGACTCTAACACACTTTCAGAGAGCTGGCAGTCAGAGTTTGACTGAAGCCGGTAAGGCAGATTTCCCAGATTGAGCACACACCCCACCCAGATGCACAGATGGTATTTGTGGGAGCAAAGGAAAATAAAATATAGGTTTAAAATAAATGCAAGAGAAACACAGAATAATATTGAATCACTCTAGGTATTTCTGAGGGTTTCCGTTTATCTTTTCAACTTCTCGGCACATAGCGAGTGTATGTTCAGGGTTTTGAAACCACCGAGCAAATGGAAGGGATTTAAAACTAGTTTTGTTTCAAATGTAAGATCACAGAAATAAAGACAGGCTTTGGGTATTTCTCTTCAGAATGAGATTTCTGTAGAACCTGTTTTCACAAGTTTGATGCAAAAGGAGTTAAAAATGCATATGTCTGGCAATGACAACTAGGCTTATCAGAGCCTTTTCGATGCTAAAAGAAAGGACCTGCTCTGCTGCTCAATTTCAAATGTGTCCCTCTGCGTGGCAGCTACTTTCCCCTTGTTTTAAATATATAGAAAGACATACAGCTGGAAAGAAGAGGCAAGCTACAAAGAAATGCAGGAAATAAAAGATTTAAATGCTGGTATCACAATATAAGGAGGCAAGAGTAGCCACAGACTGATCAGTCTGAGTTGGGAGGTTGATTCTGATAACTGATTTGGGCCTCAGCTCGAGGCTTTTATCTGGCCGCTTCAACCTCCATCACTAGCCCTCCGCAAGCTAGGAAGAGCTGATGGCCAATCTTACCTTGTTACAATCATACTGTCCAAGCTAGCTGGTCTCAAGATCCCATGAAAAGCTAGCAGATAAAGAAGGAATAGGAGGAAAACAGCACAGGCAGGATGTGGTGGAGAAAGATGCAAGGACAAGAAACACAAAAAGCCCATGCTTACCACTGGAGTCCCTGGTAATCCAGAGGTGTTGCTGTGTGCTTACTCTGCCATGTTGGGAACTGAAGCTCCACAATGTTCTACTTTTAATCCTCCTCTCTTAAGCATCCTCCTTCTAGAGGACTCAGCTCTTCACTATTTCACTCATTAATTAGATTTAATTTCTGGTAAATCAATGTTAATTTCTTGATTTCAAGTCCCACCTTTCTCTTGTTTAGAAGACGTAACTTACACACTAACTTGAATTGCAATAAAAAACTCCCTTCTTAGGATTAAAGCAGTCTATCTGTACCCTTCCCAACTCCTGCTGCTACCCTTCTGAGTTTCAGCTTAATGTGACACTGCATTGACACTTAATGTGACACTTCCACTGGCTCATCTCACAGGTGCAGGTGGAAAGGTAGGCCCTCCTGTGATACGTCTGGTGGTACTTCATCCACTTCTCCCAAGCAAAGAGAAGAGTAAAGCAAACCCTTAGGCATAAGGAGGCAGCAGAGAACTCTCCAGCCCCTCTCTGGACTATCCCTCAGCAGCAAAGCTTCTGGGGTAGGAAAGAGAACCAAGCATGCTCTCATTTCCATCATTTAAAACTTATCAACGACCAGCACACTGGATATGAAGACATTTCTGGGTCACTTTTTTCCCTCCAAGAGATCTTGTGCTATTATTTAAGCCACAGCTACAGAAATGACAAAAACAAACCAAAAAATACCAGGAAGAATCTTTAAAGAAAATATTTCAAACTAACACATCATAGAAAGATACAAGCAAGAATTTCCTATCAGCAACATATTTATGACAGTATGACATACAAACTATTTATATATTCATATCTGAATTACTTGATATATACATTTGCAAGTGTCACTCATTTTATGCTGAATTTATTTAAAAAAATGAAAAAATCTTCTACAAAGGGTCTACACTTCATTCAGTCACAAAACCTATGTTTGGAGTGACTTCAACAAACAGAATTACTTCAAATTTTCAAAAGTGTCACTAAACAGAGTTTAACCCAAATACTTCTTTTCGTTTTTGGTTTGGTTTTTTTTGTTTGTTTTTTTTTTAATCTATTCAACTGAGAGAAATGGAGCTGCAATGGTTTGGGTTTTTTAATCCCAAAGTGGATTATACAAACAACGATTTCATCAAAGATTTTTTACAACAAGCCTAGCATTATTGGTTATATCTTATTATTAAGGTAAGCATTCTTCAAAGAACTGGATGATTGGAATCTTTTTCTGATACATAGTGACATGCTATTTGCTGGCTGCTGTGAGAAGAGTCAAAATGAAAACAAAAATACAAACATGCTTTTTTTTTTTTCCCCTCTTGTCTTTATTGATTTAGACTTCACAGCTACAGCCAAAAATAGTGAGTCTGTAGAAAATTACCACACATGCTATCAATACAGCATCATTGCATGTTTAGAATCATAAGCACTTGACAAGTCACAAAGGGAACATTCAATCTAACATTTTGGCAATGCAGACCATGAATAGAGAATACAGGTAGAAAGATTTTATTTTTTTTCCTCCCAAAAGAAGTATTTCTGAACAGGAATGAAAAACCTCTGTTAAAAAACAAATTCCAGTCACCATAGAAAACTCATGCTCATTTATTCAAGATACCAACATACACTGCTGGAAACTTTGTGTGGAATGCTACACAGAAGCTACCACTCTGCTACAGGGACAATACCGTCTTCAGCACTTTGTACGCCATGGAGATGGTTACTGCATACCCAATTGCCCAAGATAAACCTCTGCCGGGCTGGGGAAAAGGGATCAAGTATGCAAAAGTGTGAATGATCCTAGCCCCAGCGAAGATCCTGAAATGCAGCAAGGCCGTGGACAGCTCAGGGCCACTAAGAGCATACAGCAGTCCAATGCCAAAAAACGGGATAATATTTTCAAGGTCATTTAGGTGGCCCCTGGGGAAAGAAACAAAATTGGTTTAGAGTGTTATATTTTGCTGAATAAAGCACTTCAAGCATCATTACTTTTCAGCATCTTCAGACCATGCTACTGTGAAGGCCTTAACACAACTGCTGGCTTCCTCCGCAATGGGGACTTAATTCAGCTACTGAAATGATTGTGGCATGTTCACCTGACATAATTCTGGTCACTCTTGCTGCACCTCACATATTTAAGCTTCCGATCTTCTGTATGAAAGTTCACAGTTTTTCCACAGGATCTTGGTAATATTGGGGACGTTCATGGAGTATATTATTGCACCTGGGTGTTCAAGAACGCAAGGAATGGCAGAGAAGA